TGTAATTAAAGTCAGTTATATAAATTAGTGTGTGTGTGTATATGTATATATATATATATATAGAATCTCAGATTCAAAGCAGTCGTTTCAAAGCTTCCCCAACACTGGGGAACAGTTTCTCCTGTTTCATAAATAATCCATTCTTTCAGAAAATGTTGCTGTGCCTTCTTTTCAAACTCTGCTTGGTTTTCCTAAATGTTGTCTATTTTCATTTTTATTCAGTGCTCCAATTGAATTCTGAATCAGCGCTTTGAACCAGATTTGTAATCGATTTCTTTGCTCTAATGCTTTCTTTTCTCTCTTCCCTGTCTTTCGTCCCTCCCACGTGTCTTGATTGACATGCATGCACCCTGTCTTCCCGTGTGTGTGTGTGTGTGTGTGTGTGTGTGTGTGTGTGAGAAGCGCGCAGTCCTCTCGATCACTCTGTGCCTTGCTTTACCACCTTAGAACCTGACGAGCAAATTCAGATGCAGAGAAGCAACAGCATGGGACTTCTCTGTAAGTCTGTAGCTGAAGATTCAGACTGATTCATGCTAGATTTGCTAATCTGTGGGTCTAGAGATGAAGAAATATACTGTAGTCTGGTTCTTTTTGAAAGATCAGCTCTAGTCCACTGTATTTCTGCAGATATGGACCGAAATTAATGATTTTGTGTGTGCACAATATTATAAACGCTTAAAGAAACTTTTAAAAGTAAAAGTCGCCTTAAACTTTAGTTTAAAAATAGTAAGTAGTAATTATGCTGAAACACATGAGTGTTTCTATGACTGATATTTATTTTGACAATCTCTTAATAAACCACTGCATTAAAGGATTACAGTTTTATGTAAGCTGTCAAACAAGTTACTAAATGAATCTATTGTGAAGTAGATACACAAAATGACTTTTATGTGAGACTCTTGGGCCTCTTTGTTTGTATTTTCCAGTGTTTTAGCAGCTGATCAGTGTTTGACCTTTGACCTTGTGTGACCTCTGCAGGTAGTCCGACCACGGCCCATCGTAACCTGACCTCCAACAGCCTGACTGATCTCTCAGACAAACCTGAGAAAGACCAGGTACTGTGAAGTGTGTTTCTGTGCGAATGTAAGTGTGTGAACAGTTTTGCCACATGTAGAAGTATATATTCAATCTGCAAGAAGAATATTATCGGGTTACATTCATCTAGGTGACATTTTCCCCAAATTCAAAAAAAAGAAAATATTTTTTGGACAATTAACCACATTTCCTCCAAAATTATATTTATAAAATATATAATAGATAACTTTTTTTTTTTTACTGTGCATACAGTCCAGTTTTTATATAAATCCCATTATTCTCAATGGTTATTCTCATTAGATTATTATTTTTTATTTTTTTAAATCAGTAAATACTACCATGATATATAAATACCTGACAATGTAATAATATAATAATGTAAATGTAATTTAAAAAAAATATATTATAATGTAGTATATATATTATATAATAATAATACTTATTTTATTTTTATGTATTTTTAATTATTTTAAATATTTTTTTGCATCATTTTAAATTAAACTCAGTTATGTAAATTAGAGTGTTTTCCATTATATTTTGGTATTTAGCTGCCAAACAATTTTTAATAAAGACATATTTCTTAAATATATTTTAAATAATAACACCTATAGTAATGATCTTTAAATTAATACACGCACACACACACACACACACATGTATACAATTTAAATATACATGCTTCGTAATTCAATGATACAATAATGCATATTTATTTAAAATATTATTATTATTTAATTTAAAATATTAACTTGTTATCATCCACATTTAACTAATATTAATAATAATTGTATCATTGAAAAAATACTACCAAAATAATTTATTTTTTGCATTACACTAAAGAGAATTATGGGGAAATGTGCTTAATCACCATGAAAGTGATGGTTTTAAAATAGGCTTCATTTTCTTGACAGTTTTGTGGTATTTTGTCAATATGGGGTGCTGTGTGTACATTAATGAGGAAAAAAAAATTTACTTAAATGATTTTAGCAAATGGCTGCAATATAACAAAGAGTGAAAAATTTAAGGGGGTCTGAATACTTTCCGTACCCACTGTATATATAGCCAGGTGTGTTTTTAACAGGTTTTGTGAGATTCTCCCACCAAGCGTTCATTAGAGACAGGATTGATGCCTGTTGGCTTCAGTCCTGGGTGTGACATCTCTAGGACAGGAATGAGCGCAAAAGGACAAAAATAAACTCTTTTTCAAACACAGTAGCACACAATTGAAACTCAGTGGCTGTCTTTCACACAAGGCCGCTGTCGTCAGTTGTGTCAATGTTTGTGGATTAGCGGGAGAGCTTTGTCAAGCGCACAGAGCTCTTGTTGTGTGTTATTCACACTGCTGTAATTATACTGATAACCTCAGAAGAAAAACAGCCAAACTGCAAACATTGCACACACACAAGGCCTCTTTTGTGTCTGTGTGTCTGTGTGTGTTCAGGCTGGATGTCATCCCAGAGTTTAGCGCTAATGAACTGCTTTTGTTTATGCTAGTTGTGAGCTTGTTCCACGCTGCTTAAGTCTTATCAGACTTTTATATTCCACTGAAATATGACCTCAAATATAATCTCATGAAGAAACATATTGCTTCTTTTGATCAATTCTTTATTAAATTCAAAAATCAAAAAAATCAAAGTAGAGTTTAATATGGATCAGAGATATAATATATAGTGAGATACACTGAACAACTTTATGCTTCCATTGTAAATGTATTACTTTAAATACACTTTCCATTTATGCAAAATTATTTATTTTCTGTGGTAACTAACTGCATGCTTTAAAAATAAGAGCCAGGAAAAATGTTGTGATTGTTAGCTAAAACATTTAACAAAATTATTAAAAATAAAGCAGAGATCATGTAAATTAATATAAATAATACATGGAAAACATAAACAAAAATTGAATTAAAATGAAATAACTGAAATGAAATAGTTGAAGTAGTAAAATTACTCAAATTAAATATGAAATTAAATAAAGTAGAAATAGAGATGTTTGAGAGAAACAGAAACTAATAAAAAATATCAAATACACATAACAAATTTACTAAAAATGAAACTTGAAAATATTAAATAAAAAATAAAAATAAATGTTTAATGCATAATTCTTTAATATTTTATAAACTATTTATTTATTTATATTTTCATTATGTTTATTTATAATATTAAATTATAAATAAATACTATTGTAATACATAAAAATATTAAAATAACACTGGCCTGAAAGAGTGAAAAATTTAAGGGGGTCTGAATACTTTCCGTACCCACTGTATATTGAGTATATATGAGTATATATATGAGTAACATCATGGGCAATTTATTATACAAGATCCAACAATATTTGCATTATAGATGCAATATTGTTGGAGGATTGGCAACATCTGCAGTAATAAACACGGAGTGATTTTCATAGTATCCATAAACCATAAACAAAGTTAATTTAGTGAAAAATCTATTTTTTTTGTTTATCTCTCCAGTTGAATAATAAATTCATGAAGAAGGTTCCCCGAGATGCAGAAGCGTCAAATGTACTGGTCGGCGAGGTGGACTTTCTGGACACTCCCTTCGTGGCGTTTGTGCGTCTCCAGCAGGCCGTCATGTTAGGAGGACTCACCGAGGTTCCTGTTCCCACACGGTAACACACTGAAATAAAAAACTGCTGAAAATAACAGATTTGGAGAAATGTAGCATGACATCACTTGCTCACCAATGAATCCTCTGCAGTGAATGGGTGCCGTCAGAATAAGAGTCCAAACAGCTGATAAAAACATCACAAGTAATCCACACCACTCCAGTCCATCAGTTAATGTGTTGTGAAGTGAACAGCTGCACAAAAAGACGTTTTTAACTTCAAGCTGTTGCTGCTGGCCAAAATGCGAGTCCATAATCCATAACAACACTTCCTCCAGTGACAAAGTCCATCCCCTGTCTTCTTACATCGAAATACACTGACATACTTATATTTGTAACTGTTTTGGACTGTTTTGACTTGTTAGTAATCTGCATATTTCTCTCCTGATTCAGACTGATGACTTTTTCACTGGAGAAAGCAATATTATGGATATATAAGTCTTTTATTTCAGCAGGAAGCAATGGTTTGAAGTTAAAAAGACCTTGATGGATTTGTTTCTTACAAACACGCAACTTTTCACTTCACAAGATGTTAACTGATGGACTGGAGTGGTGTGGATTATTGTGATGTTTTTATCAGCTGTTTAGACTCTCATTCTGATGGCACCCATTCACTGCAGAGGATCAGTTGGTGAGCAAGCGATGTAGTGCTACATTTCTTCAAATCTGAGGAAGAAACAAACTCATCTACATCTTAGATGGCCTGAGGATGAGTTAATTTTTTTTTAGCAAATTCAAATTTTTAGGTGAACTCTTTCTTTAAAGCTGTGCCATTCACATCCATCACTTGTGATAGTAATAACAATATCTGTTTGTATTTGTAGGTTCCTTTTTATTCTGCTGGGGCCCAAAGGAAAGGCCAAGTCATACCATGAGATCGGACGTGCCATCGCCACGCTCATGTCTGATGAGGTGTGTTTATGTGCATGCTAATATAATATTTAGGTGATTTTAGCTGAACTGTGGCCTAAAGCTGTGCGCTTTGGGCTCCTGCAGGTGTTTCATGACATAGCTTATAAAGCGAAAGACCGCGGTGACCTGCTGGCAGGCATTGATGAGTTCCTGGATGAAGTCATCGTGCTTCCTCCAGGTGAATGGGACCCTGACATCAGGATCGAACCTCCTAAATCCATCCCGTCTGCAGATAAACGGTACCAGCAACCAGTGACCATACCAGACCGCCCTGCATCATATCTGATGAATGAAATCCAATACTTGTTGTTGCTTACTAATTTTGGGCTGCTGATTCCAAAAATAGTGTCTGTTTTGCTCAAGCGTGTCTCTCTTTCTCATAAAATATGATGCATTTTTGCTTTTGACAATCATAAAAAAGTAAAAAAGTCTTTTAGTCAGCAGAAACACGTGACCCCTGTCTGAATCTGAGCCAGATTACAACTATTTATTCAATTCTCAGGATTTTCACATTTATGAATGACACTGAAGAAATGAATTTTTGCCTAATCCTGATTTTTACACGCCTTTGCAGATTATAAGTTAAATTAAACATTTTGAATGCTTCTTTTTGTCATCAAAACATTTGATGTTTAATTGCTTTTTTTTGTTTAATAAGTGCATTAAAGCTGATACATATATATAATTGAAAATCTTCATTCCTTTTTTTGTGAAAAACTGTATGTGATGCAAAGTTTTTATTGGTGTTTTTGAATCAGCATCATCAAATTAGGTAATATTAAAACGAAAACCAATGAAACTTAGTATGTGTGTGTGTGTGTGTGTGTGTGTTTAGTAAAAACAATATTGCCGGAGGGGAAAGTCTTCAGATGAACGGCGGTACTCCTCATGACGGGAGTCCAGCAGGCGGCGGTGGCCACTCGGTCGGTGATGAACTCAAATTTACTGGCAAGTAAGTATATAAACACACACTAATACATGTTCATGAACACTTGCTTTATGAACAGTTAACTTGAGTTTATACTGACCTTTGTTATTTCTACACTGTGAAAAGTTCAAAAAATTGCAGTTATTGTATTTACACAATCATTCAAAAGTTTGAGATTTAAGAAACTTTTATGTTTTTGAAAGAGCTCAAACAAGGCTGCATTTATTTGATCAAAAATCTAATAAAAACAGTAAAATTGTGAAATTCACAAGATGTTAACTGATGGACTGGAGTGGTGTGGATTATTGTGATGTTTTTATCAGCTGTTTAGACTCTCATTCTGATGGCACCCATTCACTGCAGAGGATCAGTTGGTGAGCAAGCGATGTAGTGCTACATTTCTTCAAATCTGAGGAAGAAACAAACTCATCTACATCTTAGATGGCCTGAGGATGAGTTAATTTTTTTTTAGCAAATTCAAATTTTTAGGTGAACTCTTTCTTTAAAGCTGTGCCATTCACATCCATCACTTGTGATAGTAATAACAATATCTGTTTGTATTTGTAGGTTCCTTTTTATTCTGCTGGGGCCCAAAGGAAAGGCCAAGTCATACCATGAGATCGGACGTGCCATCGCCACGCTCATGTCTGATGAGGTGTGTTTATGTGCATGCTAATATAATATTTAGGTGATTTTAGCTGAACTGTGGCCTAAAGCTGTGCGCTTTGGGCTCCTGCAGGTGTTTCATGACATAGCTTATAAAGCGAAAGACCGCGGTGACCTGCTGGCAGGCATTGATGAGTTCCTGGATGAAGTCATCGTGCTTCCTCCAGGTGAATGGGACCCTGACATCAGGATCGAACCTCCTAAATCCATCCCGTCTGCAGATAAACGGTACCAGCAACCAGTGACCATACCAGACCGCCCTGCATCATATCTGATGAATGAAATCCAATACTTGTTGTTGCTTACTAATTTTGGGCTGCTGATTCCAAAAATAGTGTCTGTTTTGCTCAAGCGTGTCTCTCTTTCTCATAAAATATGATGCATTTTTGCTTTTGACAATCATAAAAAAGTAAAAAAGTCTTTTAGTCAGCAGAAACACGTGACCCCTGTCTGAATCTGAGCCAGATTACAACTATTTATTCAATTCTCAGGATTTTCACATTTATGAATGACACTGAAGAAATGAATTTTTGCCTAATCCTGATTTTTACACGCCTTTGCAGATTATAAGTTAAATTAAACATTTTGAATGCTTCTTTTTGTCATCAAAACATTTGATGTTTAATTGCTTTTTTTTGTTTAATAAGTGCATTAAAGCTGATACATATATATAATTGAAAATCTTCATTCCTTTTTTTGTGAAAAACTGTATGTGATGCAAAGTTTTTATTGGTGTTTTTGAATCAGCATCATCAAATTAGGTAATATTAAAACGAAAACCAATGAAACTTAGTATGTGTGTGTGTGTGTGTGTGTGTGTTTAGTAAAAACAATATTGCCGGAGGGGAAAGTCTTCAGATGAACGGCGGTACTCCTCATGACGGGAGTCCAGCAGGCGGCGGTGGCCACTCGGTCGGTGATGAACTCAAATTTACTGGCAAGTAAGTATATAAACACACACTAATACATGTTCATGAACACTTGCTTTATGAACAGTTAACTTGAGTTTATACTGACCTTTGTTATTTCTACACTGTGAAAAGTTCAAAAAATTGCAGTTATTGTATTTACACAATCATTCAAAAGTTTGAGATTTAAGAAACTTTTATGTTTTTGAAAGAGCTCAAACAACGCTGCATTTATTTGATCAAAAATCTAATAAAAACAGTAAAATTGTGAAATATTAATATAATTCAAAATTCAATTCACTTTTCTATTTGAATATATTTTAAAATGTCATTTATTCCTGTGATCAAAGCTGAATTTTCAGCATCATTACTCCAGTCTTCAGTGTCACATGACCCTTCAGAAATCATTCTAATATGCTGATTTACTGCTCAAGAAACATTTCTTATTATTATCAGTGTTGAAAAGTCATATTTTTTTGTGGAAGCCATGATTTCAGGATTCTGCGATGAATAGAACAGTATTCATTTGAAATAGAAATCTTTGTAACATCATAAATCTCTTTACTGTCACTTTTGATCAGTTTAATGTGTCTTTGCTATAAAAGTATTCATTCATGCTTAATCAGACCCTTAATACTTACTTTTGTTGTATGCCATATTAAAAACAATTGTAATTTTTTTTTTGCTTTAATAAAATAAGTTATTTTTTCAGGTTACCTGACCAAACATTTTTCAGTAAGAGAAAACAATCTCTTGCTCTTGTAGGTTTTGCGGCGGTCTCATTCTGGACGTCAAGAGGAAGCTCCCGTTTTATGCCAGCGACTTTTACGACGCTCTCAACATACAGTCGCTGTCTGCCATCTTGTTCATTTACCTGGGAACCGTCACAAACGCCATCACCTTCGGAGGGCTGCTGGGAGACGCCACTGACAACATGCAGGTTCGCGTCTTTTTCTGAGTGTCTTATCGCTGTGAGTTTGTATTATACTAGTGTCAGATGGTTCGGCTGAGCTAGGTTTATTCGGGAGCTCGATTTGTTGTGTTCACAGCTCTGGGGATTTAAAGGAGACATAAGCATGATGTTTCCACCCCCATGCTTCACAGTAGGTATGGTGTTCTTTGGATGCAACTCAGCATTCTTTCTCCTCAAGTTGAGTTTTTACCAAAAAGTTCTATTTTGGTTTCATCTGACCATATGACATTCTCCCAATCCTCTTCTGGATCATCCAAATGCTCTCTAGCAAACTTCAGACGGGCCTGGACATGTACTGGCTTAAGCAGGGGGACACGTCTGGCACTGCAGGATTTGAGTCCCTGGCGGTGCAGTGTGTTACTGATGGTAGCCTTTGTTACTTTGGTCCCAGCTCTCTGCAGGTCATTCACTAGGTCCCCCCGTGTGGTTGTGGGATTTTTGCTCACAGTTCTTGTGATCATTTTGACCCCACGGGGTGAGATCTTGCGTGGAGCCCCAGATCGAGGGGGATTATCAGTGGTCTTGTATGTCTTCCATTTTCTAATAATTGCTCCCACAGTTGATTTCTTCACACCAAGCTGCTTACGTATTGCAGATTCAGTCTTCCCAGCCTGGTGGAGGTCTACAATTTTGGTCTTGGCCATGGTGGAGTTTGGAGTGTGACTGTTTGAGGTTTTGGACAGGTGTCTTTTATACTGATAATGAGTTCAAACAGATGCCATTAATACAGGTAACGAGTGGAGGACAGAGGAGCCTCTTAAAGAAGAAGTTACAGGTCTGTGAGAGCCAGAAATCTTGCTTGTTTGTAGGTGACCAAATACTTATTTTACCGAGGAATTTACCAATTAATTCTTTAAAAATCCTACAATGTGATTTTCTGGAATTTTGTTTTCTCATTTTGTCTCTCATAGTTGAGGTATACCTATGATGAAAATTACAGGCCTCTCTCATCTTTTTAAGTGGGAGAACTTGCACAATTGGTGGCTGACTAAATACTTTTTTGCCCCACTGTATTATGCCCCTTTTTACAATATGTAATATAAGTCTCTGGTGTCCCCAGAATGTGTCTGTTAAGTTTCAGCTCAAAATACTCCACAGATCATATATTATATAATTTTGAAAATGCCTATTTTGAGTGGAAGCAGAAACACGCTTGTTTTTCGGGCCTGTCTCTTTAAATGCAGATTATGCCATTATAGCTCGTACCTGCTAAAAACATCTGTTTTGGTTCTGATTATCATGTTTATCGCACTGAAATCGTGCGTTTTAAACCATATGAGTTTAAACTTCAGATATAAGATTTTCTGCTTCACACATCCGAAGCACACGGACAGAAAGCGGCTGTCACAGCATGTGAGTACTAAACTAAGTTCTCATTCACACAAAAGTTCACGTTAAAAACACACACGAGTTACGAAAACAGTCGATTATGTCTGTGAAGGTAAACAGCTGGGAAATAAATTGCATGTTTATTTTAGATCTGTGTGTCAGCAGCAATATACAGTAAATAAATCAATAAATCCACTGCTCGTCTCCTCTGAGGCTGGGACTCTAAACAGTGTTCTGTGCTCGTCTGTGCAGCCAAAGACAGAACAGTTAGCATGTTTTGCTCAAACTTTCGTCATGGCATTCGAACTGGTACACCGTTGTCGCTTGCTAAATCAAAATGACGGTGCCGTGGGTGTAAACTTACAGATTAAGGGGCGGTAATATTATAATGAGAGCCACGTCACCAAGGGAGCGAAATCGGACCGCTCGTTTTCTCAGACGCTTGCAGAAAAATGCTTACCAAAACAAAGTTACTGGGTTAATCTTTTTCACGTTTCCTTGGTTGGTAGATGCACCGGGGACCTGATTATAGCACTTAAAACCTGAAAAAGTCAGATTTCATGATATGTCACCTTTAAAGGCCACAGACAGCTGTTTGATTATTAAACATGTCACGTCAAACATTTGTCATGTGTTCCCTAGATCGGCCGTTTGGAAACAGATGTACATGTTGGGATTTGATCCGTGCTATACTGAGAGTGACTTTTCTTCGAACAACTGTGTGTATAAATAGTGTCAGGATTGTGCGTTGTACTTTCAGACATGTGCAGTGACCGCAGAGTTTGCGCATATATATTTAGCAGTGCATGTATATGGAGCAGGCTAAGGAGGATCAGCTATAAATAGCCTCAGATAACACACAAGCGCACACACACATAAAATCACACAAATACACTTCAGAAAAATCCCTCTAAAAGAATCCTTCTCCTGACCTCTGCCCTTTACCTATAAAGCCTGCCTCAGATACGCAAATTAAAGCTTTAGATGCAGATTGCAGGTTGGCGAATTGATTTTTTATAAGTTTAAAAAAACCTTGAAGATAACTTGTGTTTGGAGGTAAATATGTATACATATCAGATACGTAAACACAAATCTGAATGCAGAACAGTTTAAATATGCTGTGATGGGCCTTTGGACCATGTAAGTTGATGGGATTTTAAAAAACATTACTGTTTTATCAGTTTTAATGATAAAAACAAAAATATGTAATAATGATAACTAACAATAATTTATATATTTATTATTAATTAATAGTAATGATTAAATATATTATTATAATTTATTTACTTTTTAAATGTTGTTGTTATTATTATTATCGGCACATTAATAATAATTAATCACGATGAATGATTCTTTCACTATCCAACTGAAGGCTTATTGTCATTTTAATGGTTTGTTGTTCAACGATTTATTGAATTAATAATAAACAGCAACCATTATATAATAGTAATAATCATAATAATACTTTTTTGTTATTAAGAATAATTAATGATTATTATTATTATTACATTTTAAATATACATTATTATTATTATAAATTAACATAATAATCACAGTTAATAATTCATTCTCCCTCCAACTGTAGGCTGTTTATCATTTTAATGGTTGATTGTTCAGTAAATTATTGAATCAATAAACAACAACAATAAGAATAATTCATGTATTTTTAATAATTATTTATTATTCAGTGTATTATTATTAGTAGTAGTAGTAGTAATATTGTTATTATTTAATTATATTATTAATTAAATTATTAATAATAATAATGCATTATACTATAAAAAAGTCAATAAAAAATAGGGCCCAGATGTACTGTGTTAATATGAAGGGATTTTCCATATTAATTGTTTTGTAGGTGTTTTACTCATATTTTTGAATTATACATGGCATTGTGTTGTTTTTTTAGGGTGGAAGAAAAAGTCCATAAACTTAACAGAAAATGTCTTGACAGAAATGTTTTTGTGGTTTTTCCATGGATTGTTTTCTTACTGTGTATGAGTGACACACTTAAGTTTAATAGCTAGAGCTTTGTTCAAATCGAACTAATCTATAGTATGAGCAGATGCAACAGTGATGCTTACGTGAGAAAGTGTTGGAAACAGGCGTTTGGCTGAATAAGCACTTTCAGATTTGACTGTGAGGCAGAAATGTGCTTTTGAAGAAACAGCTGTCGTCACATACGGGCTCGAATCTGATAAGAGTTGCTGTTTTAGTGCTTTCCCGCAGACATGCCTTCAAATGCACTACCTTCGCTGTAGTTTTTCCGCTTGACGTCGGTGTTTTTGTCTGTCTGTGCAGGGTGTGTTGGAGAGTTTTGTGGGGACGGCGTTGGCTGGGGCTGTGTTCTGTCTGTTTGCGGGTCAGCCTCTCACTATCCTGAGCAGCACCGGACCCGTGCTCGTCTTTGAGCGCCTGCTCTTTAATTTCAGCAAGTGGGTGTCACATACACACAGAGACATACTAAAGCATGTGCACACAAGAACATCCGAAAATAATAAGCCATCAGCGGATGATTTTGTTAACAATAGCTGTTAGAAAAAATGTGATATGTGGTGAAATCATTACTACATTACTATATATATAAATACATTATATGTGACCCTGGAAGCTGAATAAATAAGCTTTCCATTGATGTATGGTTTGTTAGGATAGGACAATATTTGAAAATCTGGAATCTGAGGGTGCAAAAAAATCTAAGTATTGAGAAAATCGCCTTTAAAGTTGTCCAAATGAAGTTCTTAGCAATGCATATTTCTAATCAAAAATTAAGTTTGAATATATTTACAGTAGAAAATGTACAAAATATCTTCATGGAACATGATCTTTACTTAATATCCTAATGATTTTTGGCATAAAAGAAAAATCTATAATTTTGACCCATACAATGTATTTTTAGCTATTGCTACAAATATATCCCTGCTACTTAAGACTGGTTTTGTGGTCCAGGGTCACATATATTATTTGAATATATTAATTATCATTATAATTATTATATTATTATTAATAATTATAGTTGCTGCATTTTTACAGTGGGAAAAAGAAAATACATCTTTAATAAATGTTTGCATTAATAATAAAACAAAAAAATATGAATAATTGTTTTTGTGTGTTGTCAATAATATTTCATTTACTCAAGTGTATTACTTTTTAAATATAGAAAAATATATAATTTTATTTTTTATTATATTATATATATATATATTTTTTTTATATATATATTATATAATATATTATTTACTTGTAAAATTAATTATTTATTATTATTATTATTATTATTATTAACCATTAGTCCTCCTGCTGTCAGCTGTTTTTCATATTAATGGTTCTTTGTTCAATAAATGATTGCATTTACATATAAATAAATATATATATATTTATAATTTTTTTATGTATGTGTGTGTGTGTGTGTGTGTGTGTGTGTGTATATAAAATTATTCAATTTTAAAATGTATTACTATTTTTGTTATTTTTATTAAGTTAATATAATAATTAAATTAATAATATCCACAATGAGTAATTATTTTACTGTGCAGTATAGACTGTAGGTTGTTCATCATTTTAATAGTTCGTTACAACTTGACTCATAATAAAAATACTTTATTTGTTATTAATTATTTACTTAAAATAAATATTGTACTATTTTATTCCTATACGATTTATTTGGATTTTTAATAAAAACATTAATAAAAGTCACACAAAAAACAACAACATTTTGCCCGTGCAATCTAGGTTCTTAACTGTAGGCTTTTTTATATTAATTGTTCATTGCAGCTTGATTCATTAATTGATTTGATGTGTTTATATGATTTATTCCAGTCAGATTTTATTGCAAAGCTTATCTGTTTCTCATTTCATTCAGAGAATTGTGTTTAAACATCAGCTTGGATTTGGATCATCCACAAACCCAGACAGTAAATCAGTAGAGTTTATACTTCCTTTCTGTATTGATGTGTCATATTTAGTTTGACCAAAAACAAGCAGCAATCCCAGGAACTCTTGTCATCTGAGGCACAAAACGTTCTGAGTTATCTGGAATCAAGATACATCTTATTGTTTTCCCGTTTCCGCCAAGGTCCCCTCTCTCTCTCTCTCTCTCTCTCTCTGTGTCTCTCTCTGTCTCTCTGTCTCTCTGTGAGGTTTCAGGTTTCTGTGTTTATGTTCCATTATGAATAATTGAGTCAGATTTCATGTCTGCTTCTGCTGGCGTGTATCAGTTCAGCTTCACTGAGGGTTTCCATCTAAAGCGCTGAGTCTAGAATTATGGATTGTCATATATTAGATGAATCAGAAGTTGCATGCTAACATGATTAGTACTTTCTGATCAAAAAAGCGTCTGGATTCAGTCTTTAACACAAGGAACATATGAGAAGAGTCGTTTGGAAATGAATCCAAAAACATATATAACAAATGTATGTGTGTGCTTACATTTTTAATAAATATTAAGAAAAATAAAAATTATAATTCAATTAAAATAAATACAAATAATAATTAAATACACACACACACACATACATACATATTTATGTATAAAATAAATAATTAAATAAATTAAAATGTAATATATTTATGTAAATAAAACAGTATATGTATATTTAATTCTTAATTAAAAAATTATGTTTATATTTATATATTTTTAATATACATATATTATTTTTGTTCTTAAAATGTAAATGTTTATGTAAATATAAATATATATGTAAATGTAATGTAATATTTATAGTGCCTTCCTTTTCTAAATGATTAAAATTAATTTAAAAAATAATAAAAATGTATATGTATATATATTTAATTCTTAAAATCTAAAAATATGTTTATATATTTCATTCTTAAAAAATATTTTTCTATTTTAAGTATACATATATTATTTTTATTTAAATATATATAATATTTAAAATGTAATTAAAAATGTAAATATATATACAGATATATTTTAATGAGTTGGGAGATTTAAAAAGGAGATTAAAAATTGCTTTCAGTTTAGAGCATTGCATTATGGGATCAGTGGCACATAAGTGCTCTGGCTATGTATTAAATATTTTGAGTAAAAAAAGAAGCCCGTCCAGGTAATCCATGCAAAAAGAAAATTTGCATACTCGGTATGCATACTGCATGTGAATTTGTTTCGAAACCAGAGGAAAGTATGACATTTCAAACATATTGCAAATCATTTTTGTTCTCATCCTCTGATTGGCTGATTGTTTTCCTCCTAATCTGGGTTTGTAGGCGGGTGATGCTGATGTGTGTTTTTGATTGGTTCAGGGATAATGATTTCGACTATCTGGAGTTCCGGCTGTGGATCGGTCTGTGGTCTGCTTTCAGACACATGCACTCACACACACAGACACACACATGCACTCACACAGGCACACACACACACACACAGAGACTCACACACACAGACACACACACACACACTCTGATACACACACACACACACACACTCATACACACAGACACACACACACACACACACAGCCTTTAAGCTTCAATCTGAAACTCGTTGCTTCTGAATTAAAGAAGTATTTTGGTTTGGCAGCTGTAATGGAAAATAGTCCATCACTGATCCGTCCAAAAATGCTGTAGCATATTACCAATCTGCACTCATTAAAACATCATAAGTCTCCATTAATCTCCACTAATTAGAGATTAGATTTAAAGATTATAGTTTTCACTTTCAATTCTAGTATTTATAGTGCATTTCGTGTCAATGATCAGTGATGCATTTGTTTTTGTTTTTGATTATTTAGTATTAAATTTACCAATGCAACATGCAGTTTACTAATGAGCTTTTAATTTTTGATTTAGACATTCTTACATCCTCTTTTTTTACATACATGTAAAATGTGCCTGTCCTGCATACGTTTTTAGTTGTTATAACTCTTTTGTTATACTTATAAAACATATAAATCACATTTTTAGTAATTATTAAACATGCTATTCATTTAGATTTGATTTGAGTTGATTTGATTGAGATCAAGTGTTGTCCTATTTTTTTCATTGAATATCTTGCTTTGCTTATATATATGGCACATTATTCAAGTAAAATGGTTTTATATTGATTTTACGTGAACTACAAAAAGTTCCACTTTCCCTTATGCATTTATTTTAAAAATTATAACATAAAATCTGAAACAACAAAAAATACTGATAAAAATGTATAAATAAAAAAATGTATTAAGCTAAATAAAATATGCAGAAAAATGTTATTTTTACATAATCTGAATTGTTTGAACGGTCCATGTGAAGTCATATGCTGAATAGTTGTTTATATTTTGCAGGTCCGCCAACTGATCAGTGACTTCGCCATTATTCTGGCCATTTTGATCTTCTGTGGTGTGGATGCGCTGGTCGGTGTGGATACACCCAAGCTACTAGTGCCAAGTGAATTCAAGGTGTGTGTATGTGTGTGTTGAATGGGTTTAGTGTCTTTGTGAGGGCACTTCTATGTTACAGTAATCCTTTAATAGTCCCAAACCACTCACTGAAGTCTGACACTTGAAACCTCTAATATGTGTGTGTGTGTGTGTGTGTGTGTGTGTGTGTGTGTGTGTATGTGTGTCTGTGTCACAAACAGACACAACTCTACAGGTACGTCATGTGAGAATACAGTGCTTGTATTGTTGCTGCAAAATCTGTATTGGCACAAGCTGAATCAATATAACTTTCACTAGTAATGCTAACAAACCATAATACATGATATAATATATAACAGATCAATAGACAATTTAGTTTCAAATATAATTATGATGCTCATATTTCCATTTAAATGTAGATACTATAACTATATAATATGCATAAATTATATAATCTCTGCTAATGAAAATTATTATAAAGTGAATGTTGAATATATATATATATATATATATATTCTGACAATTTTCAAGCGACAGCTGAAAACTCGCCTCTTTCTTCACTATCTGACTTCATCCTAATAAAAAAACAAATTATCCTTTTCTCTTTTCTTTAATCTTTCCCTGTCTAGCTTGTTCTTATTTGAACAATGCTTGAAACTTGGTATTACGAGCACTTCCTGTGCCTCTTTAAGATGAATCGCTTGATGTATTCCCCAACTGTAAGTCGCTTTGGATAAAAGCATCTGCTAAACGAAGAAATGTAAATGTAAATATATTAGGGGTGCAACGGTTCAACTGACTCACGGTTCGGTTTTAGAGTCACGTTTTCGGTACGGTTCGGTATGTGCTATGTTTAGGGAACAAAACTATACTGCCAAATAAAAATAAAGAAAATAAGAACAAATAATCTAAATACAAGCAACAGCACAAATAAAATAAAGCAATAAGCTTGTGCCTAACAACGCCCCTTGTTAATTGCTTTTATAAAACGGTCATTCCATATACGTAGTAAGGTTTCACAGAATAAAACAGCAAATAAAGTGTAATGATATAAATAAAAACAGTATTCTTCCACCAAACAATGTAGTTCCTCAGAATCAGTTGTGGTTGCAACAAAGTGGTTGCCGAGCAACAGACAAACGTAATTTACAACAGCTTCGAACGTGGCTCAGCCAATCAGAAGCAAGGACCGGAACTATCCGTTTTATAATATATAATAAAATATTATGTTCAAGATACAAACTAAATATAGTATCAATATATTATTTTTTTTATTTTATTTAAATTTCTAATTATCCTGTATTTTTCTACCCTAAATAGCCGACGAGTCCAAATCGTGGTTGGTTTGTTCCTCCATTTGGAGGAAACCCGTGGTGGGTTTACCTGGCCTCGTTCTTGCCTGCTCTTCTGGTCACCATCCTCGTCTTCATGGACCAACAGATCACGGCGGTCATCGTCAACCGCAAGGAGCACAAGCTGAAGGTACAAACGGCTGATGTGATGTTACACAGACTCTGGGGCTGTTGTGGAGTATAATGAGGGATTATGGTCAGAGGATTACACCGCTGCACGCTAACCTAATGCTTACAGGAATCAGATCTCAAACACACTACTGTGCTTAATATGGAGAACTGATCATTTACTATAGGTAACGAGTGTTATTTGTCTCGCTCTGAGTGCAGAAGGGAGCCGGGTATCACCTGGACCTGTTCTGGGTCTCCATTCTTCTGATCGTGTGTTCGTTCATGGGTCTGCCGTGGTACGTGGCAGCAACCGTCATCTCCATCGCACACATAGACTCCATCAAGATGGAAACTGAGACCTCGGCACCCGGGGAACAGCCCAAATTCCTTGGAGTCAGGTGAGGGGAAAAGTCAAAATGCATTGAAATTTGAGGAAAACTTTGCTTAAAGGGTTAGTTCAGCCAAAAATAAAAATTAGGCTGTGTTTTACTCACCCCCGATGCATCCTAGGTGTATATGACTTTCTTCTTTCAGACGAATCCAGTCGGAGTTATATTAAAAATTGTCTTTGATCTTTCAAGCTGTTTAATGCCACTCAGTGGGTGTTGCATGCATCAGTCCAAAAGACGTGAAATAAAAAGCACCCTTCCACAAAAAAAAGTGTCTCACACGGCTCTGGGGGGTGAACAAAGGCCTCCTGTAGCGAATTGATGCGTTTTTGTAAGAAAAATATCCATATTCAAAATGTAATAATCACTTGAATCTAGCTTGCGCTCACAGTTGTAAACGGAAGCAGTTTCGGGGTAATTACGTATGAGGTCAGCTTTGCGCATGCGCCGCTCAGAAGTGACGCACGCGGAAGCGCAGGGGAGAGATCAAAACAAA